TAAATGAGAACTTAAAAAAGATATACTAAAAAAAAAGTCAAAATGACCACTCGTGTTTTTTTAAATGGAAAAATTGTTAGTTTTCTTAAATTACTAATACCTGCGAAAGATATATACTTTTTAATTTGGTGCCAACTTTTGTTGCCTTTAATATGAACATTCTGTCTGAAAACTTCCCAAAGTTATAAAAAAACAACTATTATTTTTTTCCAATGACAATGAAAAATTAGTAATTTCGGTACTTTTTCCCCTGAATATACGTTTCAAGACTAAAACTGTTCAAATACTTGATTTATTTTTTATAGAAATTGTTTCTGGAACTCCATTGATTGAAAAATGCAAAAAAATACTTTAGCGTTTTTTTTCTGGTGAGAGAAGGGCGAGACGCTAAAAAAAACTGGTGAGATTTACGCATATACAGCAAACTTTGTGACAAACCTGTATCTCCAGAGTATCGACAGTGACTTCATCTAGCGCAGGATGAATAAAGGCATTGTACAAGGTGGTGTCTTCTCATATCTGCTCTAGGTTGTGGTAGAAATTGATCTACAGGAGGAGGTCTTAAATGTGTGCTTGCCAATTTCTGTAGTGACTTTAAGCCTACCGTTAAAGCGCTCCTTATGTTGGTAAAATATATGTGGTAACGATTACGTAGGTCAATAATGCATCTGATAGACAAGCGACAATCAGGACATTAGACTCTCGATGATTGTACGTTCGAAATTAGTAAGAAGATAAAATTTGATAGCGCTACCTCAAGAAATATCATGGCTGATAAACTAGTCGAAAAAGTACCCTAAAAACGATCTCGCCACGTAAGAAAGGGTTCACGCACATTTAGCTAAATGTAACATACTCCTAGAGAAGTGGGCTTTATGTTAACCAATGGAGGTTGTAACCATGGATTTACATGTGGTTAGAGTAACAATATAATCCGATCTGATTTGATCTGAACGGAGGCATGTAACACTTCTCCTCAGCTGTCTAACCTTTGTGAGGAAGCTTGACCAATAAATATCTAGAAATGCGCTCAAATTTTCAGCCTGAGAACACCTGACAAATTCTAAAGGTGCAGGCAAAATATTTCGAAGCGTTTTGCAGTTATAAGTGTATGTTCAGAAAAAATACTTCTTATCAAATGACAGGAACGAAATTCTTCACAAATAATTTGAAGTCACTGCTTCTCCCTCAAAAAAAAAAATAAAATAATACAAGTAATATTTAGCAAAAAAAACCGACTTCAACTCTCATATAAAAAAAAAAATATATATGTATATATATATATATATCTCATGATCCACTGATCGGATCTTAACCATATTAGCGTGGGACCACCTCTGAGACACTACCTTTTCGATGCAAAAAGAATTATCGAAATCTGTTGACGTGGTCCAAAGTTATGCGGTAACATACATTAAAAAAAAAAATATATTCCGACGAACTGATAACCTCCTCCTTTTTTGGAAGTCGGTTAAAAATAGAAAAACATGCCGATTCTATGCAGTTGATAAAGTCAACATTTTTATAACACTGTGCGGACTTACAGATTCTTTGTACAAAGATGTTGTCTGGGAGGACCCCTAGTGAAATTTTATGGCAAATAATTTTCTAGAAAATTTTAACCCTCTAGCGACCTTCAAAATGCCATTTTATTCGAACTTTCTAAACGACCAAAACGACCCTTTTATGAGGGAGATAACGGGTTAAAATGTTCTACAAAATTATTCCTCGTAAAATTTTACTATATGTCCCGAAACAACATATTTCTCTCCGGTGTGTATTTAAACTCGTTCTTTCATTTATTCCTAAAGACACTTAGGCAAAATATTGCAAATTTAAAATATGAACAACGAATGTAAAAAGATTTCGGGCTTTTACTATATGGGTCTTGATCTTTCATACAGAGTTGGAATTATTGCGCCCCCAGACAATGGCCCTCAAATTGTTGCACAGTGTAATTTGTAATTTTTTATTATTTATCAAGAATTGGAATTTCAGCACAGATATCAAAAGCTCTTTTCTTGATAAATTATCCAGAATGAAAATGCTATTGACAAGCGTTTAGAAATTGAGTTTTCATATGAAAATTATAAATTTTGTATAATAGAAAAGGTATTTCTATAAATTAATTACCGCATGTGCCGGCATTTGAATACAAATAATTTATCAAGAAAACACAGAATTGGGCGGTGACAATAATTACTACATATAAAAGAAATTATTAAAACAATTTCATAAACTTCACTAAAGCTAAGCTACAGGCAAAGCTGCAAATCAACCTACTGAATAATATTTACTTGCTTTGATATTCCGATAATTGCAAATACTTGAACTATGTTTACATATATACACTGCCGGCAAAAAGTATTGGCACAGCTGCTTTTTTACAATATATGCACCGATTTCTATTCTTATATTTTTCCGCAAATTTTTTACAAAAAAACGTAAAAATATAATTTCTACACTTGCAAACTCGCGCAAATTCTGCAAATTATAATGCAAATCTTCAACTTTTTAGAATTTGTTTGAGTATGCAGATTTGTAGCCCAATCGATTCTATTCCAAAGTAGAAGTTCTAAGTAGCTACGAAGTACCGTTGATTTTTGGCATTTTTTTCACGCAGTCTATACAAAAAAAAAAAAAAAATTTCGAAAACACTTTATATGGAAAAATGCCAAACACCTTCAACAAAAAAAAAATAAAATATCAAAAATCAATGCAATTTTTGACTAAGTCCGAACTTGCATTTTTTACATTAGAATTCTAAAATTTCTAGAATTTTCAAAAAAATCTGATTAAAAAGTTGAAAATTTGCTGAATTTTCGCCAGTTTTGCACAAAGCTTAGAAATTATATTTTTATGGGGTTTTTGTAAAATGAACCATATTTAAAAAAAAAATTGGCGGAAAAATATTACAATAAAAATTGTTGCACATATTGTAAAAAAGCAGCTGTGCCAATACTTTTTGCCGGCAGTGTACGTAGTAGACGTTTACTCAATGTTCTGAACTATAATAATATTGGTAGCTTCATATGTATTTAGTTACTAAGTAAATAAACATAAATGTATAAGCGTTCGCATATGTACATATGTATTTGTTGTTAAATATTGTTATTTGCTTTGTGGCAAATATTGAGATGCGCGACCCATACAACTCGTATGAATTCCATGCCAATAATCTGGCTTATGTATTGTATCAATGACTCTGTTACCAAATAAATAAGCCTACAAGAAACTAAAGTTAGCTTTACATTTGACATGACGCTGCATAGAGAAATATTTTGACAATTGTGACGCTGCGGACTACATATTTCGTAATATAAAGATACTAGGTTTTAAATTACAATGTTAAAGTATGCATGTAGCGACATATGTACGTATCTACCTACATACATATAATAATAAAAGGTTTTACAGTAAGTAGACTAATTCTCGATACGATACGATTTGGAGTGCTTATTACAGGCCCTTCTTTCTCTGTTGTTTTTAGAAAAGTGCATGAAAGGGTAAAATAGAAATCTGGCCAGCATTGTTTCGTCTATCTTTAACGGTAATTTAAACAGGTCTTTGGTGGTTTAAACTATGCTATGGATTTATACCTTTATGATAAGATCCGTTATCAGCTATTCATCTGTGGTTCGGTGGAGCAGACAATCGGTCAATAGCGGGGGAAATCTGCTAACCAAACTTTAAGGAACGACCAGAGTGTGTTGTACGCGAAATTTTCCTTAAGCGGAAGTCCTTAATAACACCTATGGGTTTAGATGAAATTGGTGCTGATTTGACAGTGTAGTAAGTTCTGGTTTAACTGCAATACTGAGCTCAGGCTGACGCATTATAGAATCTTTACCGATGGCCACAAAACTGACACAGGGACACTTTCAGTCTATATTGATGGCAACGTGGACAACCTTGAGAGATCTGGCCATTTGGCTAGAGAGGCCCCAGAGCATATATATGCCTTGATCCGCAGGCAACGTGGTCTGAGTGCTGATTTGTGCACACGTTGATTGGGTGAGTTTGGACATAAGAAAAAATATTTAGAAAATCGGGTCGCTTGGTTCTTCAACGAGTCAAAATGTTTGACCACTAGAAAATTTTTTATTTATTTATTTTTTCTGCAAATTATATTTCTGCAAGCTGACTTCATCTTCGCAACAGAAACATTTTTCGTTTGTGGTGATTTGATGTTTTTATTTTAAAACAAAGTTATTAAATAAAATCTGAGGAGTGCACTAGGGTCTAAATTTAAGGAAAAGCTAAGAAATGCTATGCAGAAGTTTTTACTCTCTCATTTTTATTACAATAAATTCTTTCCTATATTTTAAGTAAAATTCAGTGTTGTTATCGATAACTCTTATGAAACAGTTATCGATAATTTATCGATATAACATGTATAAGCCTTTTCTTAGATATCAAGACTGTTATGTATCGCTATCGTTATCGATATATTTATATGAAAGTTATATAGTTATCGATAATGTACCGATATAACATGCGTCCCTTTTTATCGATATCAATATTGTTACATTTGCTATATAGAAATCTAAAAGTTATCGATATGCTATGCATAACCTTCTTTAAGTACATCAATAATGTTAATTTGTCGCGACGATTAACGATATACTTTTCAAAAACTTACATTGTTATCGATAAAAAATGCATGAGCTTCTTTATCGATATCAAAACTGTTGCACTTACCGCTCTCATTATTGATATTGGTACATATACCTATGTATGCATTTTAAGAATTTATTCCATAAATGATATAGTTATCGATAATTGATCGACATAACATGTATAACCTTTATCGACATCATTACTGTTATATCTTTATGAATATCGCGATTATTATCGATATACATACGTATCGATATATTTATCTAGAAATTTTTCGATGACATACACAGATAACTACATAAATATGTCACGTAACGCATAGGCGACGTCAACCCGCCTACCCCTAACGCAACAAATTCCCCACTCCCATCCATACTCACCTAACATTCGCCGCATACCAATTGCTTTGCTGCCACTTGCCGCCGTCAACGCTGCCGAGGATGATGACCTTGCACTGCCCACCGCAGCGCCTAGCCTTGCAGTAGAACCAGCCACTGCCTTGGCTGTTGACAATATAGCACGTGATGCTGTTGTTGATGACGCCTTCGACGCCGTTGCTACATTAGTCGGCGTATTAGTGGCGCCAGTGCATGAACGCTTATAGCCAGCGGAAAGAAATGCCGGTGGTGGCGTTATGGGCGGAGCTGGTAATGCTATATCTTCAATGGGTGAAGTGGCCGTAGAGGTGGTAGCCGATGAGCAAACCGAAGCGGGCATGCTAATTGAAGCGCCACTATGCAAAATACCACCCGACGACGACGCGGATGTTGTCGTCGCAGCAGCTGTAGCTGCAGCCGCTGCTGTGGCAGCCAATTCCAAATGATGTTTGTCACAACGACGACGCCGTCGTATATTTGGTGCGATTGTTTTCATTTTGCCGGAAGTTGCATTTGTTGCGCCAATACCGCTACAAGTTGTGTTGAAGCCACCGCCGCCGCCGCCGCCGCCGCTGCCGCTGCTTCCACTACTAAACGAGGAGAGGTTGGTGAGACTGCTGCTTCTATTGAGCCCACCACAACCGTCCTTGGAATTGATGCGTATGTAGTGTACGCGAAAGATGCGCAGAGGTTTCTTCTGTTGCTGTTGCTGGTGCTGTTGTTGGGAAGATGGTGGTTGCTGTTGGTGTGCCTGTTGCGACTGTTGCTGTTGTAGCAACAGCGCCTGATCGTCCTCCTGCTGATGCCGTGATTTTTGTTGCTGATACCGTTTACGTTGCTGAGTTGCCAATAATTGTGGATATTGCTCGCCTAAGTTGTAGTGCAACATTTATGCGCAGCTGTTGTTTGTTGGTTTTGGTTGTTTTAATTCTTAAGTGTTGATGTCGTGCTGTCCTGCAGCAATTTTATTAATTCTATTTTTTGACTGCACAAATTTTTTCTCCAAATATATACTTCTCTGAATTAAATGTCTTTTATGTTAAAAATCTTAAATCACCTTGTAGTAGCTTGCCGGCTTTGCACTCTATCAGCTTTGGTTTGCGTGTAGAATAAATTTCACAAAAATATGTTTTATGCTAAGTGTATAGACTGCTGCTGGCTTCTTTGCTTGGTTGCCTTATGTCGTAGGGTTGCTCAAAATGCTTTTTGGTTTGAAAAATAGTAACTTTGCCTACTGTTGTATGAGATATTTGATCTGGAAGCTTTGCGTTTCTGGCTCTGTTGCACGTCGTTACCTGCTTTACGATTTCTGCTTTGTGTTTTTCATTAATTCTAGTGATTTTTTTTTTTTTTGTATACAATTTCAAGTTGAAACAGTTTTAACAATATTTATATGTAGTTATATATATGTATGTATGTACTTGTATATATGTAATTAACAACATTTATGCAGTTAACGAAAAACTTTAACACTTGCTTTTTTCTTTTTTTTTTAAATATAGCTTTTAAAAATATGTTGGCTTTTTTTGTTTTTAGCTTTAGATTTTTATAGCATTTCAACTAGTTTTTTGATTATATTTGTAGGTATATTGTTGATTTTTTTTTAGTTTAGCTTCATTTATAGTCAATCTGCTCGATGCGTAGATTTAGAGATTTCAGCAATAGTTGAGTGTCTTTGAGTAAGCTTGTAAAATTGTCTTTCCCTGTTAACCATCTGCGTGCAATTAAAGAGTCTTTGCACTTTAATTAGTATGCTTTGCGCTGAAATTTTTCGTAAAATTTTTGTTTAGTTCAAAATTATGCGCTGCCACAATCTCTGCTGCATTCACTTAAATTCACATATTTTTTTTAATTTGAATTTGTTTTTATACTACAGCAATGCAGTTAGTTCACTTCGAAGCTGATAAACTAGAAAATTTTAGTTCATATTTATTTATTGAAAACGCATTAATTTAAATAAATATATATTTTATTTGCTAATTTTTATCGCGTTTAAGATAAACAAATATTTGTATAATTATTTATTTATTTTATTTTATGTTGTAAGCCACGAAATTGAATTTATTAATTTATTTTTTTTAAGCCACCCGACTGCCTGCCCTTTTTTTGCGCATGCCAAAGTAAACAAGTTAAAATTTTCAGTTTCCACTTAACACAAGTAAAAGTCAACAATTTCAATTTATTAATTAACGAAAGGGTTGTGAAAGCTTATTCACGCAAAGCTACATACATACATATGTATGTACATATCCATGCAAATTAAGATAAAAGCGTGCAAAGAGCACGAGAACGAGTGACTGCTGAAAATCGATTTTACTGTAAATAAATTTAAGTTCACAATTTATATTTTCAGCATTTTTAAGATTAAGATTTGTTATCGATTGTGTTATCGATATCGATATTGATATCTATAAATTAACAACTTTTGCTATCGATTTTTTGCCTAAGCCCAAACCGATAAACGGTTGAAGTACCACATGAGAATTTATCGATTTTAATAAATTCTTTGGTATCGGCATGGTTGTCCATAAATGTATCGATAGGGTCATAGAAATTAGTACCAATTAGAAAAACATATAACGGTATACGCTTTTAACGTTTACGTTTGCATCGTTTTTCGTAACACTAGCCTGGACATGCGGTCTCACGGACCCCTAAACTGCGAGACATGTTGGCCGCAATTCGTAGTAAAACTGAAAATTAAATGAAAATATTTTATATCGAGATAATTCATTTTGACTGTAAAGTACCAACGAGAGAGTACATATCGCGCTCTCTTCAAACGTGTACTTGCCGCGAAAAATATTCTAGTACCGTATATTTATATTAAATGAAAATCGGGAAATTTTTTTTTTTTTGTAATTTGAGAAAATCTCGAGGCGCTGCGAAGCACGCGAGGTATTTGCTAGTTGAAGATATCTCTAAATCAAAGATTTCTCAAATACTTTCGTTTGATACCCATATTGTAATATTTGTAATATTTAACTTATAAATTTACCTGAAATGCATTTTTCAAATAGGTGGCAATCCACTTAAAAAATATTTCCCACACTATAGTTTCATAAACCTGTTTAGTTGGATACCCGTATTATAATATTTCATTTATTTTATTAATTTAATTTAATGAAATTTTTAGAAACAGGTGGCAGCCCTCCTGAAAAAATCTTCGCCTGTAAACTTTCCTAAACCTCTTTGGTTTGATACCCTTACTGCAATATTTTATTTATCTTTTCAATTATAAAAATTAAAAATTTCAAATAGGTGGCAGCCTTCCATAAAAATATTTTCGGCTCTAAGCTTAAACCTCTTTCTTTTTACAGATATATTTCAATAACTAATTTATCTTATCAATTTACTTAAGTTGAAATTTTCAAACAGGTGGCAACTCTCTATTTATTTCTATGTATATTTTAAGTGAGACCTCTATCTACACATCGGTGAAAAATGTATTCAATTTCCATAGAGACAAATAGACCGACATAAATTCTAAAAATTGTTCATTTGGCTTAGTTTGAATGAAGACCCCCGTAACAATTTTTCGTTAATATCTATAATGTGCAGACATCGGCCCGTTACAATTTTGTTATATGTATAGAAGATAATATGTACGGCGCAAGTTTCAAAGTTTATACAAAATCGCATTAATTTTTCCTCATTAAAATAAAATATGCGAACATACCTCGTATGGAAAAAAAAATAAATAAATAAAAAAAAAAAAAAAAATTTTTTTTAAATTGAAATTTTATATGAGAATTTCTTGAATTACTATAAATTTTGTATAAAGCCTGAGCATCGCATTTATATGGTTTTTGCTTATTGAATATACCGAGCCCTAACCGCCAAAATAACGTAAGCGACTTTTTTTCAAAATTTTCTTTTTGATGCAGAAATATTCCTAGAGCATCTAGATGCATTTCTGCATCAAAAAAGAAAATTTAGATAAAAATTTCGCTTACGTTATTTTGGCGGTTAGGGCTCGATACTATGTTTTTTTTTTAATTGATGAATATATAAACTGTCAATAACTGCCGGCACTGTATTTATTCTAATACGTAGTACCCCACGCTCGGCTATGTAACATTACCTGGCACGAAATTTCCTTAACCAAATATTTTAACATATCTAAAGTCACGAATAAAAATAAAGAAAAAACTACGAATTATTATGCATCAGCACCCAACGGTAGGGCTATAAAATGAATTTCTTTAAACTTACCGCACACAAACACGCAACACCGTTAAATGAAATGCAAAAAACGACCAGGGGAGCAGTAGAGGTAGAAAATTTGCTCTACCTCTTACGAGTGAGCAATTGTGCACTTTTAGAGAGTAACTACTTCCATAACATTACCGACAAGTGGCAGTAAGCATTCAACTCGAGCAAAAAATTAACTCAGCACATTTTAAAATGACCACGCAAAGGTCGGGCTACATACGTACGCGGTGCGGAGAAATGCGAAAGGACGAAAGTGAACATTACGTTTTCTCCTCGGCTGGTGGCTAAGAAATGCAGCGGAAGCATGTTAAAAAGCGGAAATCATTAAATATCCGGTTAAGTTTACGATGCTACCACCAACTATTTAGTAGGAGAAATGAGTCACAAATATTTCGAGTACATATAGTCAGTCGCAGCAATTTGAATTGAAAAGTACATAGGAGCTACGGGCGTAAAAAATAAGTAAAGTTTAAAACAAGTTTTGCTGACTAATGCACGGAAATATGAATAAAAGATGGTGGGTTGGTGGCCATAAAACATGCTGACGAAGTAAGACATAAAATAAAATTAAGTTAAAAACAATAAAAAATATGCTGGAAATTGCAATTTTTTTAAGATAAGCTAATTTATTTAAGTTTGAGGTTTTTATAATTTTCAGCAATATCTATCACCATTTTTGCCATACTTAACTATTTGCAAAGCTGACTATTTTCAATAACTCCACATTCACAGCGGCGTTTAGTCACCTCCAAAACTACACGAACTGCAAGCAAATTAGAAAGTCGTAGAGAAAGAATGGTAAAAAAATATATATGAAGGTCAAATATTTATTATGTAAGTATGTATGCTTGTGTGAGCAACTCGAATTATTCCTACAGATAGGACATGCAAGCAAGTACATACACGGGAGCTGAGTGGTAGACACGGCGTATACGTGACATGAATACGGATAGTAGGTGAAATGCATGAAGGCGGCAAAATGGCAAGAAATTTGATGTTGACGGGGAGGGGGGAGGGACACAAGTAGTATAATATCAAGGCAAATGAGCGCCTAAAGAGTAGCAAAAAGTAAATTAAAGGAAGTGGCTGCGAAAAAGAAACTAAGTAAAGATAAGTTCAAGTCACCTCATGCAGAATGCCTTGCAAGCTTAAAGATATGTGGGGAAATAAAAA